AACTGGCCAACAAAATCACCAGTTTCATCCCAATATCAGAACGAATCGCACTAATACAGTTAGCAGGTAATAAGATCAACCTGAATGTGCTCCAGGTCTACGCACCTACAGCGAACAAAGACGATCAAGAAATAGAATCGTTCTACGACCAGCTAAGCAACACCTTAAAGCCGTTGAAGAAGCAAGACATTACGGTCATCCTCGGTGACTTTAATGCCAAAGTCGGTCAAGGAAAACTACAAAACATAGTCGGAGAACATGGCTTGGGGACACGGAATGAACGAGGTGACAGGCTTGTACAGTTCTGTCAAGAAGAAAAATTTAGCGTCGTAAATACTTGGTTTAAACTACCTCCTCGACGACTGTACACCTGGACCTCGCCACAAGACGCTGACAACAATATCGTCAGGAACCAAATTGATTACATCTTAATTAACATCAGATATAAGTCAAGTGCCCTCAGGGCAAAAACGTACCCTGGAGCTGACATATCATCAGACCATAACCCAGTGACAGTAACACTACGCCTCAAACTGCGATCAGCAAAACACACAAGAGCAACAAAAAGATTTGATCTGGAGAAGCTGAAGAATAATGCCTTCAGGCAACAATTACAGTTGCATCTCAACAATTCAATCAGATCGATCGAAGCAGCAACAACAGACGTACAAGCGTTCGGGCGTTCACTGAAACAGTGCATCAACGAAACAGCAGAAACCCTGCTGGGACATCAGGCACCGAAAAAGAAACAACGGTGGATGACCCAGCACATTCTAGATCTAATGGACAATCGGAGAACACTCAAAAGTGATAACAACCGGGAAAAATACAAAGAAATACAACAAAAGATCAAACAAGAAATACGAAAGGCGAAGGAAAAATGGATGGAAGAGCAGTGTGCAGAAATTGAAAATCTAATCAAGAAAAATGATAACTTTAACCTGCACAAGAAGCTCAAAGAAGCTGGAAGCATCTACAAACTGACTCCTATCCCAAGCTTATATACGGACAACAATCAACTTATATTAAGCAAACAAGCCAAACTTGACACCTGGAAGAACTACATATACAATCTGTTTCGCGCCAATAGAAAACCAGCAGAATTGCAACAAGTGCAGGAAGACAATCTCCACATACTAACATCTGAAGTGGAACATGCCATTAGTAAAGCAAAGCCAGGCAAGGCCTGTGGACCTGACCAGATTCACGTGGAACTGCTGAAGCAGCTGGACTACAACAACATCCAACAACTAACAAAATGGTTCAATCAAATCTACAACAACAATGTTATTCCATCTGACTGGCTCCAATCAATCTTTGTGGCCCTACCAAAAAAGGCTACCAGCCGAAAATGCGAAGACTTCAGGCTGATCAGTTTAATGAGCCAGGTGCTAAAAGTCTTCCTCAAGGTGATTCAGCAAAGAATAAGATGTAAATGCGAACGTGCACTAGGAAACACACAGTTTGGCTTCTGCAGGGGGCTGGGCACCAGAGAGGCAATTTTCTGCTTACAAATACTGCTACAGAGGTGCTATGAACATCAAAAAGAAGTGTACATATGTTTTATTGACTATGAGAAAGCCTTTGACTCAGTGGACCACAGCCGCCTAATTAATCAACTGAGAAAACTTGGGCTTGAAACTAACGATATCAACTTTATCACCACTCTCTACTGGAATCAAACAGCCCGGCTCCGCTATGACAACGACCTGACAGACCCAATCCCAATACAAAAAGGTGTCCAGCAGGGCTGCCCATTATCTCCCATTGTTTTCAATATCTATTCAGAAATGATTTTTGACCAAACACTGGCCGACAAGGAGATCGGCATAAAAGTTAATGGACACTACATCAATAACCTAAGATATGCTGACGACACAGCATTAATAGCGGATTCCGAACAAGATTTACAGACTATCTTGAATGAAGTGAACACAAAAAGTCAAGCATGGGGTTTACGAATCAACAAAAAGAAAACAAAGGTGATGAAGGTCAGCAGGACTCCTAGCGAAATCACGATCAAATTAAATAACGAAAAGTTGGAGCAGGTACACCGCTTCAAGTATCTTGGAGTACTAATTGATGACCAGCTGAATCACGAGACCGAAATCAAGAGCAGAATCGAACAAGCCAGGCAGGCATTTACCAAATGGAAAACACTCCTTACCGACAGAAGCTTGAATATCATGCTCAAATTACGCACATTGAAATGCTACATCTGGCCAATTCTACTCTATGGTGTAGAAACTTGGACTCTAACAGCAGCCACTACAAAAAAGCTCCAGGCCTTCGAAATGTGGCTCTACCGAAGAATGCTGAAAATTCCGTGGACGGACAAGATAACCAATGCACAGGTCTTGCAGTACATGCACACGGACCGGGACCTGATCAAAACCATCATCAGCAGGAAATGCAAATACCTAGGCCACATTGCTAGGAACTACCAAAAATACCATCTACTGCCACTCACCCTGGAGAGCAGGATTGAAGGCAAGAAACGTCCAGGTAGACCAAAAACGGCCTGGCTAGATAACATCAACACCTGGTTTCACATGACAACAGCACAAGTTCTACACACAGTGCTAGACAGAGAACAATATCAAAATGAAGTCGCAAATGCCATTCGGCAGCATTAAAGAAGAAGAAGAAGATATTTAAGTCTAATTCAAGATTTAATCCTATTTGAAATTTCTATAAAAATTTAATAATTTTAACATGTTTCACTCTATTATCTATTATTTTTATCAATAATATTTTTTATTGTGTCATTAGAGAAAAATTTTTTAAACAAGCTTTTGCATATTGAGGTGTGTAAGCACAAAATGAGAAGCATCTTTTTAAGTGTTTCTTTTATTTTTATGAACTTATATTTATATTTATTGTCCTATAGTTTTTTAAAATCAATTTTATTGATTCTTCTGTTCAATATTATGCTAATATTGCTGATCATATAACCATAATTCATGGCATATGTTAAATTGCTTGTAAGACCTTTAAATAATTTTTAAAATAATCAATTTTATTATGATTGCATTCAATGAAATATGAATAAATTAAATATTGATAGGTTGTTCAATAGCTATATTTACAAATGGAAAAAAATATTTCCAAAATTCTGTATTCTTATCTGCATTTCTTTGTTAAAGCAAAGACCAAAACAGAACTGAAAACATATTTTCCATTTCTGCTTTTGCCATTAAATTTTAAGTGTTCCTGGCCTAATTCATGAAACAATGCCAATTTTATTGAGTATTTTTATAAATTTTAAAATATTTTGGTTATTTACACATATTTACATAGTTATTATGATCAGCAATATTTTTAATGAAATTTTTATATTGTTGATGAAAGTAATTTTACATTATTTTCATCAATATAACATGTAATGTAAAACTTTAATGAAAAGTTATCAAAATGGAAAATAGTAGAAACAACTTAGAACATAAAGAACACCAGTAGTTAACTGAAGAATCTTAGTTTAACAAAAATGTTTTTTACTTTATATACTTTTCAAAAAATTTTTATCATTTAACGTTGCTGGTAATTTTTTATTAACTAGTTTATAACAATGTACAGATAAATCTGTAATGCAAAATCAATTCTGGACCAGTTTTCAATTAGCATAACAATAATTTCTGTTAGTCTGTTTATATATGGATTTCAAATTAAGCCAATGATAGTGGTATAATTATTACTAATCAGTTATATTTATGATACTTAGTTGTAGATCATAAATATTCCTAATTAATAGCCAAAATAATAACTGAATTGGTAGTACTTTATCGGGTATTATGCTATTATATTAATTAATAAATAATTGTCATATTAATTAGAAAAAGGCAGAGATAGTGACTCTACCTATTTCTAAATAGGTAGAGTAGCTGATTTTAATATAATATATGTATATAATAATACATTTGGAAATGATATGAGAAAAAGTAACTAAACTTTCTAAAAGTCATAAATTATCCTCTCATCCAGAAGGTAAACTACTTTTTGTTTTAAAAAGAAAAAAGAAATTGGTTCTATGTCTACAATAGGGACATCTGACTGATGAAATTGTGGTATTCTGTAGTATTAGACTATTAAACATCACACTATAAGCAAGTACAAGACATGTACCTAGAGATTTTTGAGGGTTTGATTTGGTTTTTAAAAAACACTTTTTGAATCAATTGATACTTTTCCATCACTAAGAGTGAGCAGTTGTTGAGTGAAACAGCTGGCAGATAAATCATTTTTTAAGTGAGTTCATATGTTTGTTTTCAGCTTCAGCTTGTGCACATATCTCCAGAGATATATTGCACTACTAAACAGGAAACAACTAAATGACTCAGGCTTTTAATGATGCTTAAATGTCTGTAAAGTTCAGTTCCTACTTTTAAAAAATTGTGACAATAAACAGAAACAGAAAACAAAGAAAAATTCTATTTATGTATCAACTCTGTTTTCTGAAAATACAGAATGCCCTTTTACAGAAAACAGAAATTCACATAATATGGAATCCCAACATAAAAGCTAATATTATTGATAACAAATTCTTTCATAGCCATGTAATGTTTCACATTCAATTTCTTGTTTGTGCAACTTTTTGAAAGTTAAATATCAATAGATATATAAAGGTCTTCAAATATATCTGTATATGTTTATATTTCATTGTAAGCAATTGAGGTTTCATGTAAAATAAAATAATTTTTATTTTATTTTATTTATTTAATTGATAATTTGTTTAATATTTTGTTTTAAATTTTAAATATAAGAGTTTGAATGTTCCTTTGTTTAAATGTTCCATTTTTTTGAATGCCTTTTCAACACAAACACAAACGTTTGACTTCACAACTAAAACACAAATGTTTGAATTCAGTTGCTCAGGTGCAACTGAAATCAAATGTTTGTGTTTTAGTTTTAATAAACATTTCTCAGCAACAGAAGTTGATACTGTTACTTCATTAAGTTATTTTATTCTATAGAAAATGAAGCTAGCTAGGTAATAACTGTTGTAATTTTCAAATATCTTTGAATTTTAAGCTTAGATTTTTCTAGAAATCATACATGTATATAATTTTTACTAAATTTATTTTTATAACACTTATAATATTTTTATCTATCCATCTTTTTTTGTTTTGTTTAATGCTTTAAGAGTTTGTTTTAAAAGTACAAAAATTCAAAAATAAAGAATTATAGCATTTTCAAACTGTCTACATTGAAAGTACTAGAAACTTTTATTTAAAAATTTTTTTATGCTATAATTTTTCAATCCATTAAATTATATTGTAAATTATAATTATTGATANGGGTAAATCTGTTGTATTATTTAAAAAGTCTAATAATGTATTAAATCTCACAAACTATGGATTGGATTGATTAATCCAAAAACACTTCATATGAAAGAAATAATTAATTTTTCATGCCAGATTCTTATTAGATAAAAGTTTAATAGAATATTATTACTACTATTAAATACCTTTACAACTCCATCAAATCCAGGTATGGTATTTACTTTAGCTTCTTTTGCTAATTTTTTACTTTCAATTTTATCTCCCATTGCTTTGATTGCATTGGAATTTGGACCAATAAAAGTAATGTTAGCTTCACTCTATAAATAAATATATTCAATTCATTCTAAATAGTGCATATTTAAATACAATTATATGACAAATATGTTATCTATATTTAATTTATAAATATATAAGAACAGTTTTGCTCTTGGCTGTCATGACTGTTGCCATGTTTTTTGCTCATCTAAATGAAACCTTTGCATCACAGTATTTGGCATATAAGACAACAATATTTCTCTGTTTTATAAATGCCATTGAAAAGAATGTTTCATTATTGCTAATTCAAATTTTATTGATAAGTGCAGGAATCAAANCACTCTATAAATAAATATATTCAATTCATTCTAAATAGTGCATATTTAAATACAATTATATGACAAATATGTTATCTATATTTAATTTATAAATATATAAGAACAGTTTTGCTCTTGGCTTTCATGACTGTTGCCATGTTTTTTGCTCATCTAAATGAAACCTTTGCATCACAGTATTTGGCATATAAGACAACAATATTTCTCTGTTTTATAAATGCCATTGAAAAGAATGTTTCATTATTGCTAATTCAAATTTTATTGATAAGTGCAGGAATCAAATGAAATCCTGCCCCACTATAATAAACCTTCTCAAGAATAATTTTGAAACATTAGAATAAGCAAAAAATGGAAAAGGTTGTCCTGTAAATTTAATGAGGAAGTATTCACTGAAGTGATTGATTATGATTTGGATGCAGTGTTGGGACAAACTAGTAATATATTTCAATCACAAAAAGATACGGATTCAAAAAGTAGGATATTCTTCAAATCTTGATTACTTTGAGTCTATAACAAATCAAGATGAGGAATATTTGTTGAAATTGCTACAAACGTTGATGAGCAATAATTTTATTGAAATTAATACATAATTAAAATTATTAAGTCAGATGTTCAATCTTTAAAAGACAATAATAAAACTATCCAACCTGAATTAAAAGTCTTCACTATTCAAATTGATAAATTAGAAATACTTTATTGGAATTTGAAATAGTTTGCCAAAATCTTGCCAAGAAACTTGATGATATTATATTTTCCTTTCTCTTCATCATACTACTTATTGTAATTATTTCAGTTTTTTAGAAAATAATTACTAATACTAACTCTAACCATGAATGATATTGTAGATGTATTGAATATACGAGGCATGTCCGGAAAGTAAGTACCGTTTTGAAAAACTTGCATAAAAAATATTTTTTCAAAACAAAATTTATTTTTACATGAAAAAGCATGTCTGAAACTATTTTTCTACATAGTTACCACCATTGTTCAGACATTTGTCATATCGGGAAACCAACTTGTCTATACCCTCTTCAAAGAAAGATGCCGCCAGTGAAGACAGCCACTGCTGAACATCGGTTGTTGCAACAATCTCATGCAAAACAGTTTTTTAAATTTGTGGAAACTCATCACAAAGCAATCTTATTGTGAACTGTCTGTTTTCAGGAATTTTTTCATTCACTTTTGCAACCAAACCATCATTGACAACAGAAGGCCAGCCACTCCGTGCTTCGTCATGAACATCAGTGCGTTCAGCATTGAATTGTCGAACCCACTTTCTAACCATTCCATCACTCATTACATTTTCACCATAAATCTCTACAAGTTGACGATAAATTTCAACTGGCTTAACATTCTTTGCTTTCAAAAACCGTATTACAGAATGCACTTCACAGTTGGCGGGATCGGCAATAGTCTTAAACATTTTGAACGCTCACTAACACGTGGAAAAACAATCCAATCCGGCTGTAATGGTGTCACTGGACTGACAATCAACTAGAAAGATGTGTGCGCAGGTGCCAAACTGCAATACTACCACTGCAATGGTGGTAGAACGAAACGGTACTTACTTTCCGGACACGCCTCATAGTTCTGACAATTCAGTCATTAAATTAACTTTAGGCAACAAAAATAATAGAAATTTTTGGGAAAAAGACCAAAACTTATGCAATATAATTTATCTAAAACATTTTTTTTCAGACTTCTGTTGTAGATCTCACTATAGAAGGTATAAATTTGTATCTATTTAAAAAACAGTTGGAAAACAGAGAGTAAAAAATTTAATATGTAAAACAACTGTTTTATTGATAAAAATACAATTCAATGAATTATGTAAATGACAAATTAATTGAAGTGCAATATTTTTAGAATAATTGACTTGTCCTCTTCATGGGAAAAAATACAAAGCAATTTTTTGTCAGTATATTCAGCTAATGTTCAAAGTGACTTATCACAATTATATTCTTATCATTTTATTCTATAGGAATATTCAACAATAGGTTTAGTGAAAAGATGGAAATTTTTATTTCATCTACAGAATCTGGAAGATACACGTCTCAAATATCATCAAATTATGGTTTCTGTAGAATAAACTAAAAATGTTGGAAGGCCTAAAGGCTATCTGCTGTTATACTTTACGAGTCTTTGGGTAAATCTGTTGTATTATTTAAAAAGTCTAATAATGTATTAAATCTCACAAACTATGGATTGGATTGATTAATCCAAAAACACTTCATATGAAAGAAATAATTAATTTTTCATGCCAGATTCTTATTAGATAAAAGTTTAATAGCATTGTCTATCGATGTTAATGAGGTTTTGATAAGTAAAACACAAAATAAATACAAAATATTTCATAAGCAGTTTCAACATGTATAGAATGTCTTCTTCAGGCAAAACAAGAAAAATTTTAGAACGTTGATATGAATTTCAATATTAATGTTAATTTGTACTAATTGGAATGCACATGCTAAATTTAAATGGTGCACTATTAAACTTACACATTTAATTAACGGTCAAACTATAATTGAAAATTATTGGCAGCTGTAATTAGAGCTCCCAAAAATATGGGTTTTGCTATTTAGTAATTTAAAAAATTAAATTATTAAATAGCAAAACTCATATTTTTGGGAGCTCTAGAGTGGGCCTATTACATAGTTCTAATTTCTCAATTAATAAAGTTTCCCAGATAAATAAACAGTTGCAGTTCTCCTACTGTATGGGAATGGAAGATTCATTCTGCAGGGGGGTAAAGTAATGATTGAGATGCCTTCTAGATTGTTCTGCAGAAATTTTATTTTTACAAAATGTCATCTTGATATTCTAATATTCAACTTTGCAATTTTTTACTTGTGGCATCGATATATGTCAAAAGTGCTTGCAAAATATTTTGTGTTTATTTTGTGTTTTACTCATCAAAACCTCATTAATGCCGATAGACAGTGCTCTTAAATTTTTATCAAACACTTTGTAAATTTAGAAATCTAATTAACATATTTATCAATGCCCAATGTAAACAGTTGCATTTCTTATGAATAATAGACTAAGCAGACATGGATGTCATCAAATATATTTTGTTATAATTCTTAATGTATAAACATTTTGAGCTTTAGCCCCTTTTCAATACATGCTACAAGATACAATAATCTAAATCTGCAACTACATAAAATAAAACAAACATTTAAAACTCTAAATAGCTTTAAATAACATATTTAATAAAATTTTTTGCAACTGATATAAATATGCACTATACTGCCTGGAAATAACCGACATACAAAGGAGTTTGTTGAACTGGAATTCAATTACAATCAGTACAATGTAGGTCTGCCATTCACTGCTATCACTGCCTCTACTCTTTGAGGAAGACTTTTAACTAAATTTCTGTAAGTACTTCCAATGTTGTAATTCCAATGTATTTACGATCCAATTTCCAATGTATTCTATCACTGTTGATCACTAAGATCTTACATATACTATTATGGCTCTTACTCTGTTTTTTTCTAAAATTATCATTACTGAGTAAGAAAACAACCAAGATGAAGAAACATAAAAACATAGAAGTACTAAAAATGTTAAAAAAAAAATCAAACATATAATAGGAAACTTAAATATAATGTCAAAGATGTTAAAAACATTATTCTGAATATCAAACATTTAATTTTGAATTTCATTTTTCAAATTACTCTAAAATTAATATTTTAAATTTTATATTCTATTTTGGAATTGTATCTAATGAAATGGCATAATGTTGGGGTCATTGATTTTGATGAAACTTTGTGAGATTATAGTACATCCACAACAACTGACATGTGCCAAGCAGTAAGGTGCAATACTCAAAATTAAAGGAGAAAATTGAGGTTGAAAACTGCAAAAAACTTAAAACCTTTAGAATTTGTGCCAATATATAGTGGCCGGTGGCTTGGTGGGGGTATGCTGGTTTCATAATTGTGAGATTTGTTTTTCAAATCTCAATGATATCAATATATTATTGTTATTATTTTATACAAAATTATAATTTTCACTTTATTCTTGGTACTTTTAAATTTATTATATTGTCAGAGAGAAAAGCTGATTTATTTTTAGAAAACAATAAATGCACAATAAACAGGATAATAAAACAATAAAATTCATCTGTTTTAAGTAACAAGTCAATGTTAAAAGCGATTAACAAATGCTTCTTAACAATATTTATTTAAAAACAAAGCATTTTCTGTATTTTCATATACAGTATGTACTTACTCTGGCAACAAAGTCGTTGTTTACTCTAAATGTGTCTGTAATTGCATCTTCATTTGCTAAAGAATGAAAAGATGGCTTTGATATCTCATGCTAACATCAATAGCATAGAAATTTGTTCTGCAGAAGAATCACTACACAACCATATTACAAACTTTACATATTATGAAAGCATCCTTCAAAATTAAGACCTAATTGCAGCTGAGATTCTTCAACAATTTCAGAAGTTGTGAAGGCAGTAGAAAAAACATTAACCACTCTGATATTTTTCAATGTGATATGGTACAAATGATTCTCCTCCAAATTAGATGATGATGAAGTGTTTTTAAACATTAATTAATCAAGTTTGTTTTTCCAGTGTCATGTAAATCTTATTGTAAAAATCTGCATTTATTCAATGCACACACTGCAGAATGTTTCTTGTTTCATATGCTTCTATGACAATTATCATCCACAAAATTGTGCTCATGGAAAGCAAACAAATTGAATAATTTTAATAAAAATGTCTTTTTTATTAACAAAATTGACATTGAAAAATGATAATTTTATTTAAATCTAATCCTCTTCCCAAATAAATTATAAATAAATGTTAGTATAAATCCCATATGCACTGTACATGAATATTCAAATATAACTTTTAAATAAGTATAATAAATTAAGTATAATTTATATATTTATTATACTTTTAACTATAATTTATATATTATTATANATATATTATTATAATTTATATAGATTATAATATATAATATTATTATACTTAATTAAATTTTTAACTTATTCTTGGTATTTTTAAAGTTATTTAAAAATACCAAGAATAAATTAAAAATTATAGTTTTGTATAAACAAAAAAAGAAAAAAATATATTGATATCACCAAAATTCGAAACACAAACCTCACGATTAGGAAACCAACATGCTCCCACCAAGCCACTATACAAATGGTGGAAATTCTAAAAGTTTTAATTTATTTGCAATTTTAAATCTAAATTTTATTCTTTAATTTTGAATATTGTGCCTTACGATCTTTGATTATAGTGCACCCGCAAAGATTGACATGTGCAATCTTTGGGGATACACTATAATCTCACAGTGTTTGATCAAAATTGGTGACCCCAATGTTATGCCGTCCCCTTGTAAGTTCTATTTGGACTGCTAATGCTAGACTAAATTAATCTGAAAAGAATATTCTACAAGATTCCTATAGGAATATATATTTTGATTACCTTAACTTAGCAGTTAATTTTATGATACTAACATTGTCACAGAGCAAATGACTATAGATAATTTTTGTAGAAACAAATTAATTTATTAAACTTAATTAAAAATATATTAGAATAATTCTAAAAGGAATGAAAGAAAGTACATGAATAAATACTGGCATCCACATTACAGAAAAAGAATAACTCCTTGTGTGTGTTCTTGACACACATTAAATATTATCCAAAAATTGGCTTGGCACATGTGATGTGGCTAGAAAATATCAAGACTGTGATTGCCAGCACACAACAGTTGCACATGGGTCAAAGTGAGTGGGTGGGTAAATGACCTTGAACTAGTTAGAACAAGTGTAGTAAGTGTCAACTTGCTACTGTTATTAGATTGCTGTGAGTGCAAGTGGATATGTTGTTAGCGTGTGTTGGAAAAATGGCCAGCTTGAAAGAGGAGCAGTGTATCAACCTGAAATTTTTGGTGAAATTGAAAAAAAAAAAAAAAAACTGCCACTGAATCTTTGCACCTGCTATGTGAAGCATACAGAGAGGCATGTCTTTCTCATGCACAGATTTTCTGAAAGCCCAGAGAATATGAAAGACAATAAATGTTCTGGATGGACCAGCAAGTCAAAAACCAAGGAAAACATGCAAAAAGTGGAACAAATTGTTTGAAGTGATTGAAGACTGAGCATAAGAATGATTGCAGACATGGTACATACGGATAAGGAGAATGTGAGACAGATTTTGCATGAAAAACCGAACATGACAAATGTGTGTGCTAAGGTTGTCCCACAGCTGTTTTCCCCAGAGCAGAAAGAGAATTGCTCTGGGACTGAGAACAGCTCCATATGACTTTTATTTTTCCCTAAAGTCAAGTCTGCTCTAAGGGACACTGTTTTGATTTGGTTTCTGCTGTCAAGAAAAAACAATGGAGCTTCTGTGCAGCCTTACAGAAGATGACCTGCAGCAATGTTATGATCAGTGAAAGTTGCAAATGCAGTGCTGTGTGAAAGCAGAAGGATCATACATTGAAGGGGAAAACAACTAAAGTGAATATATTACTCAAGATTTAAAGTTTCAGCTTCAGTCTTGTTATTTTCTAAACACATCTCATACTGCCATACAAAACACATCTAGCAGCAATTTTATATATGTTAATGTTGTTAATGTTTTGACTAATTCATGTAAATAAATTTCTAGTAGTTTTATACAATAAATTTTATGCTAAATTGTTTAGGAAATATTTCTACAAATAAGTAATAACATTGTTTTAAATTAAAAATAACTTTTCATTAAAGAAAATCATCAGATCTATCAAACTTCTAGTGGATATTCATGTTATAAAAGTGAGCATAAATAGCCAAAGGGTCGATTTCAAAAATTTTTAAATCTTTAAAACACATCTCTAAAAAAATAATCATGATTAGAAATCAACAAATAAAAACATACATACTTAAAAGCAAAATTTAAATTTAGCATTTAATAATTTAAATTAACTTAATTTAACTTAATAATTTAGCATTTAATCAATTCTAAATTATTAAGTTAAAATTCTTTAACAAGTATTGCAACATACTCTGTTGCAATACTTGTTAAAGAATTTTAACTTAATAATTTAGAATTGATTAAATGCTAAAAATTCCTAAAATATGTCAAGTTATGATTGAGGTAATAAAATGATTTAATGATTAGAGAATCATTAAACATTAAATCACTTAATTAATTTAACCAGGCATAAAAATTTTGGCAATTTTTAGAAATTAAACTAAAAATGAAGTTTTGAGCAGAATAAATCATGTAAGAAGTTACATTAATAATAATTACTGTTAGTAAATTTCATATGACTCGCAAATTTTGAATAACAAAATACTTTTTAAATATTTTAATTTACTTCTTACCAGCCGTTTTGCAAATTCCATATTTTCTGATAAAAATCCATAACCAGGATGAACCTATAAAAATATTATTATTATTATTATTATTATTATTTTAATTTATCTATTAAGCATCAAAACAATCTAATAAATTTAAATAAAAAAAACAAAAGTACAACCATAAAAAATCCTGCAGGTGTTTTAGTTATATTTCTAAAATATAATAAACTTTATTATATTTTAGAAATATAACTAAGAAAATGCCTGCAGAGAGAAATGAAAACATCAAAATACAAGAAAATTTTGTATACAGGTATAAATAAAACTTTATTCATTTGAACCAAGATACTGATTCAATCTCTCTAATTTCATCTGCAAGTTAAATCAGTATAATAAGTCCTATTAATAGATTATAGTCACAATAGACTAATATTAATAAAATAATATTTAAAGGACTAGAAACATTAATTAATTAAAGTTATGGATAATTCAATAAATCCTGTAAAATGTGTGATCACTGAAACAAGTACTCTAGTTCTGTGTGTGTAATCCACAAAAAAATTTCTAAAAATAAAACCTTTGCATAACTTGTCCCACTGAATATTCCACACCTATGGGAATAGCCATATCCCCACAGATGCAAGTTCATAATTGCAATTAAAAATTATCATATAACCTGCATTCTCCTTCAAATTGTCTTTTAAAGATAATATACATATCTGTAAGTTATACACACAGAAATGTGATGATGATAATTTTACCAAGGTTAAATTTTCTAAAAATAAATGGTTTAAGTATGAAAACACTAAAAAAGTAAAAAAAAAATTGTAATTTAATTCAAATAAAAAGTAAAAAATATTTCTAAATTTGTAATATGCAAGCATTAAGCTGTAAAAGAGACTCAAACTTTTAAAATGAAAATGTAGTATTTACTGTATATTAAAACTTACTGCTTGTGCACCAGTCTTTTCAATAACTTTAAAAATTGCATCCATATTTAAATAACTTTTGTTTGTTGGTGCAGGTCCAATACAATATGCTTCATCAGCAAGTTTCACATGTAGCTTAAAAAATAAAAATAAGTATAACATCAGCTCTTTCAATAATATAAAATATATAAAAAAATAAGAAACTTACAGCCAAAGAATCCACATCACTATGAATAGCAACAGTTTTAATTCCCATCATTCTACAAGTTTTAATTACACGACATGCAATTTCACCTCTATTTGCAATAAGAATTTTATCAAATTTCTAAAAAAAAAAAATTTTTATTATATTTAACTACTTTTTATCAACATATTCTAAATATGTAACTATTAAATAATAAACATGTTAAAAACATTTTATAACACTAAAATTAAGTAAGAAAATAATGAGTTATTTACTGTGACATATTCATACATGCTGGGCTGCAATTTTTAATTATCTTTTAATTAGTTAAATCTTTTAATTAAAAACGTCATATGACTTCTGGTTCAGACTGGATGTTCATATATAGTTAATCAGTCTCTTGTCCTAAGCTTTTCATATATGGTGTCAAGCTTTGCGCAGAGGCGATATCGTAGCCAGCGAGGTTAATACGAGGCGCGATTATTGCTAGTTGAAAACTATTCCCATATATGGTTGTCAATTGTAATGTCTCACCCTTGTACATGATACTTCTCCCAATAACAATTGGAGTCATGCTGGTCATCTATCTAACTCTGCAATTTGAAAATTGTAGCCCAACAAGTTAAATTATTTATACATTTATGTATAAAAGTATAATTATTATTATATACAGTACTTGAAAATTATTGTTCTAACCACAATAAATGCTGAAATTTCTTGCAGATATCTATGGTTTATCTGTATTTAAAAGTTAACTTAAAAGCAGATGCAAATCTTATCTGTTTACTAATTTGCAATTATTAACTTATTAATACAATGCTATTTTTCTACAAATAGAATAGCTTAGAATAAATTTGAAGAAATTTAATTTAATGTTTAAATTATAGATAATTAAAGATAACAATAGCTATAATAATCAATTAATCTCATTTGAAATTACAGTGGAGTGTCGATTATCCGAAAGTCAATTATCCGAAAGAATTCCAATCGGCAAATTTAAATTTTTGCCAGTGCTGTGGCGCTGCAATCTTTGGCTATGTCTTGGGCTACTCAAATATTTTACGTTTTTGATACTAAATTAACTTCTGAAGTATAATTTTTTATTGTTTTTATATTTTTCAATATATTTATTTTGTTTGTACAAAATAAAAAAATAATTTTTAATGATACAATAGTCTTCGTTAGGCTTAACATCGACAAAAATTCAATGTGAAGCGACACGCAATGAAGAAAAATTTTACATGGGATAGGTTAATATATTTATTCATACATAATTGGTTATCCGAAATATCGATTTTCTGAACAACCCCAGTCCCCAATTGATTCGGATAATCGACACTCTACTGTATTAATATTTGAATAGATAAAGAAGAATAGTGTTTACCTCTTCATGATGATCAATTGGATCAGTTACATAAATATTACATAGATGAGATGATGTATTAAGTCTTTGTCTAGAGATGATTCTTAATTTCTAGGAGAAAAAATTAAAAAGAACAATTATAAAACATTTAAAAGGAATAGATTTTATTTCTATTTATTCTTATAAATTCTGCAAAACAATTTTTATAAAAAAATATAATAATAAATATGATGAAAATGTATAACAACAAATCTATCTTAAGTATTTACAATTATTATTTTTAAATTAATGATATTTTATGTTTTTTATAAAAAGGCATACTATAAACTGATCCAATCTTCAGATAATCCTGTCTTACGCTAATTTAAATCTGATTTACTTTTAGAATCAGAAACTAGCCAGACAAAGTAAAAATCTTAGAATAATTACATAATTAGCTTTTGAAATTTATATACAGTATGTGCCAAAATATATAGTATTGAAATGAAAAGACAAACAATATTACTTTGTTTTCATTTGTGAGTTTATTTCTCCTGAAAGAAACTAACATACACACCATTAACATGTTGATTTACCACAGTATGCATAATGTAAGTGTTTGAACTGCATATTACCTCACTGTAGACAGTGTTCATATCATTCATACAGATTCTCAAATATATCCTGGAACTGGTTGAACAGACCCTTCTATTGACAGAGTACACTACCACAACAGTGAATTTTGTAGCAATAGGCAGCATAACTGTGTTACTTGGGTGCTGTGTTATTAAATCTCAAAATTGTTCTGCCATCTTTTTCAAACTCAGTCCCCCTTCATGACCACTTCCATACAAGCAGAAATACTCAACTATGAATATTTTTTCCTCCATCAAGAGACCCATTTCCAAAAACAACTGCACAACACAACTTCCTTTTCACTACTGGGAATACATGCAGCTGGAGTTATGCCCAGCAAATGCATGTGCACGTTTGAGATGCACAAGTTTCAGTACTGTATATTTTGGTGCATACTATATATGTAACATTTGCAATAGAAATAAACATAAGGAAATATATATATACATTTATAAAAGCATTAATGTAATGTAATTTTATAAGTAAAAACTTAAACAGTAGTAGTGATAATAACTCTATTGCAAGTCATCACCTTATCAAGTTAAGTCAGTAGTTCCAACAAACTATAAGGCAATAAACTTCCAGTAGGGTTACCATGTGGACCTTAAACTTTCCAGTAGGGGACCTTACCATGATGAGAAATAAAGCAAAAAATGACCCATAAGCAGTGTCTGACTCAGAATGGATGGCTGATTAACAGCATCTGTTACCCATGTTAGAGGACTGAGTTATAAACACCTGGCTTTAGATATATAAGTTTGTCCACTTCTGTGGAGATAACAAAACCAGCTAAGATGTCACACGGGTTAATAAGGTCCATGTTTGTGAATAAGGCAGAGACTTATATTCAAAAAATCTGCCACAGTCTCCTTTGGCCACCAGCACAGACCCAAGTATAACTATGCATCACAAATACATTCACAACTTCATTCATTCACAATGGACAACACACACCAATCCAGCCACCAACCACCAAGACCAGAAAACTACACCATTGGATGAAGTTACAAAACTCAAAACATATCACGACAGCTTACAGACAGACATTACAAATAAATTCACACAAACACACCCATATCTCATTTTTACAGAAAAAAAAACTTGAAGATCCCAGTACAAAAAGTTCACAAATCACAGTTTTTAAAAAAACTGTGCTTTTGATACAGAAGCATCAAAAACACACAAACTTTACATTTAAACTAAAAAGTCAGTTATAAAAGATATTTAAGTCCCATTTGGATGGTATGTTAGTTTTTGGTTGTAATGAAAATTAAATGCAAAACCTGTACAAAACATTGTACCAGTTAACTAGCAGCTTTAAATCATTTGATGTTTATATCACTTAGTATAAAGAAAAAGGTGACATCCATGAATTCCGTGGATGCCACCTTTTCTGTGGAAATAATTAAAAATAAAAGGTGAAAAAATATGAATGTAATTGTTAGGAGTTAATGTTAAAAATACTAATAAACAATGTCGTAAGTGATTTTCATTAGTATTACTAAGATTACTGGTTAAGATTGGAAAAGATGATTGAGTAATACATGCATATTTCACTGGTTATTTTTGTTGGTTATAATGGTTACTATTTCAATTAAAATATCATATTTCGTTAATGTACAGGTTGTTAACATTGAAATTATGTAAGTATAGTGCTGTAATGTACTGTACATACATTATATCAATAAATTAAGCTATTATTTGATATTATAGCAGGAAAATCAACTACTATACTGTACTGGGTTATATTTTGTAGATAAATGCCCACTCTGTATGGAGATAACTATGAAGCATGTCATATTTTAAGTGATTTTTGACTCTCTTTCTCCCTTTCCATAAAACTAAATGCACACAGCATAGAGCAATGATAATGTCCCAACATTCAAATTCCCTTCCCTTAAATATGTGACAGTTCATGAGCATTCCTTACACTAATGCAACCAGTATGAAATAATCATATTGTTAGTTTTAACAAACTGTATTTAATAATAATTTTCATGCTCCATGTTTGATCAGGTACTGCTTCAACAGCAGCAACCAATGCGCAAGAGCTTTGTCTCAAAAACTTCTTAATATGGAATATGCCTTTTTCACTAAGCCTCTCAATGAAATAATGTCTGAAATGTCTCTATTGAGATATCTGATGATAATGATCAGTCATTTCATAGCTGCAGTTTCTGTTTTATTTAAGACAAAAATATAACACTTATCCACTGTTAAAGATATATTGTTTGTTTATTTTCTGCAGTGGCTAGTTTGATTTTATCACATTCAGACTCTACAAGCTAGTCTTTATAGGTCATAATTAAGCTATATGTACAAACACTTTTCATAACTGAATAATGGAGAAAATATTATTTTTGAAAATAAATGAAAAACTGAATTTGGTTTTCCATTTCCATTGTGATATTATAATAAAAATCTTTATGGAAGAAAATAAATAGAATTTATCATTAAGATGTTAAACTATTAATCAAAACAAGATCAAACAAATTCAAACAAAAAAAATTCCAATATATTTCCTTTTCACTCCTTGTTAATAACTTATAAGTTTAAGATAACTCCTCATTTTAAATTGAAGTAAATGCCCCAATTAAGATTTTAACTGAGAAGTTATTTCAAAGTTAATAATAATGTATGTGTTAAAAATATAATATGTGAATATAATAAATTTCTCTGATCTGCAAGGAATGTTACACCTATGTCCCCCACCAATTTAGATGAATTTGAGCACAAATAGTAGTGTTTGAATTTGATAAATCAATCCCAAGTCATTTCATTCTTCAATTTCTCCAGGAGCACATAACATCAATAAAAAAGCAACAAATTGCCACTGCTTTAGATACTCTACCCTTGGAGACAGACACCATACACATCTAGATCAGGCAAAACTTATACACAATTCAAATAACAAAGCACATATATGGCATTTGGAAAAAATCAAAATTTACAGAGCAGAAAGGGAAGAATTGGCCATCAACTATAAAGACAGCAACTCTCCAGCCCAGGAGGGGAGAGCTGTATTTGAGCTCCAAAAAATTACACCCCAAGATCATATATATCATTAGTACAAACCAACCAATTGGGACTTAAAAATGGCAAATTTTAAAGATTCCAATGCATGTAGCATTCTATTTTTACATATAAAAACTAGTGTTATTCTATGTTCATTACAAGCATTATTATTTTATTCTTTTCAGCGATGAATATTTACAAATAAATATGTCTGATACATTTTCCTGTTCAAGACTTTGTTAAGAGCAGACAATGTTTTCAGATTTGGAAAATAAGGAAATTGGACACAAGAGGACATTTTTGAATAGTGGAGGTTCTCTGCTCATAGTTGGGAAACACAAAGAAAAATAACAGACAATGAGAGGAAATTTTTGTTATTAAAGTTAAGTCAGTATGAAACTCAAGTCCAGGTTGATCTAACTAACATTGCTAACTTAAACTTTAAGGCTAGTGATACATAGTTGCATCGTTTTAAGAGTTGCTATAAACATTGGTAGTCAAAAAAATAACATGGCTAGTTAGAAAAACAGCACTGCAATCAGCAGAAAATATTATGCAGGCAGCAAAGACCTTTCAGGATGACATAAAATCCATATCAGAGAACTTTGACAATGACCATATATTCAACACTGACCAGTATGGTTTCCAATGTGAAATACTGCCTACAAGGACTTACACCTTCAAAGGTAAAAGAAATCAATTTTTGGGTATGCTCAATCACCAAAAAATCTGGCAACATACAGCTACACTGTACAGAATGTTATTAATTAATAGGCTGGTGATATTGTTGTCAACGTTTTATTATGCTTACAAGAACGCAGGGAAGCTTTGGGCCAAAAGTTCAAGCGGAGATTGATATTTTCACACCTCCTAACATCACTGTCACTTGTAGCATAATCAGGCAAAATGAGCAAGTCTCTAAATTAATTCTTTTTGGAAAGACAACTAGTCCCAAACTTAAAGAAAAGTTTCCTTCTTGTGATATATTCATGACACACAAGTGTGGATTCATATACAAAATTCATTGGTTAAGATGCCAATATACCAGAAATTACTTTAAAAATTGTACCAGAAAACTGTATTTGTCTGGTAAAGCCTCTTGACACCACTTTTCATTGGTAGTAAAAACACCTTGCCAGAGAAATTCTTACAAGTCTAGAGGTATTCCTCAATGCAAAAGCACACAAGGATGATAATTGGAATCAGTGGCGTGCCGTCATTGGAAGCGATGGAAGCGCCGCTTCCCTTGTATTTTCTAAAAAATAAATACAGTACATATTGCGCGGTTATTTTCATATTTTAACGTATTTTGAATTAATTAAAATTAATATTTTATTATAACCGCATTATGTATCTTATTACAAATTTATATACTACACGTGAAAAAAATGATAAGATCGCTATTGTATATTCGAATATCAGTGTCGGATTGGAAGCGCTGTATCAGCAGAGCCGGCCCTACCATAGGGCAAACGGAGCAG